GGCCCCGCCTCCCCCGCCCCGCCCGCGGCTCAGGAGCGGGTCCCCGCAAAATTAAACCTCAGCCTGAACGGGAGAGGTGCGCATCGCCCTCACCTCTCGTCCCTGAACACGCCGCTAAAAAAATGTTCATTTAGGGTTCTTCCACCCAAAGAGGGTTTCCCGCGCCTTTATAGATAATAAAGAAGTTAGGCGGTGCTGGACAGCTGAGTAAGAATTTTCCTCGTTAATTGAGTTCTCTTCCACGCTATCCCTGTGCAAATCATCCATCCCGGGGAGCAGGGGTGACAGGGCAGAGTACAGGCTGTCGGCAGCAGATTGACACTAGACCGTTCACCTCTAGCTCCAGTGTGTGAGTTCTGGTGTCTACACACTCTGCTGAAAGCCTCTCACAGAGGGGAAAGTGCATTGCTCGTAAGCAAGAAGAAAGGAAGTCTTCTTACTGGGAAAGAAGAAGAAAGGCAACATTAAAAATGCTGAAAATTAAGACTGAAAAAGTATGCGGTATGAAACTTCCCGCTACAGGAAAACAAACAGCAGCATTCATATGATATTTAAAGTTTCATAACAAAAAAAAAAAAACCAAACCCTGCACACTAGGAAAGTTGTATGGAAAACAACTATCCATTTTCCCCCTGACATTTAAAGAATTTTTGCCAAACATAGTTTTAAAAAAAAGTTCCACATTCTTTATGATCTGGTAAAACGTTAAGAAAGATTTTACTTCCCATGTGTTATAACAACTCTCCTTGTCTTTAGCAATCGTTCTTCTCTAAGAGTAGGTTTGTCTGAAATCTCACACTCATTAAAAAATTTAATTCTTTGTCAAGCTACATGTATCCAGCAAGCAGCTGAAGATCTAGAAGAGCAAGTTACGCTCAGGTGAAGAAAATGCAATTTTAACTCTATCACTGCACTTAGGTATGTTTATTGGAACGCAACTTCTACAGACAGAACACTGCAGATCCCCAAGAACTGCAACCACACTTCCAAGAATATTTAGAACACAAAGCAAATTATTTCTCTGAAACCTTCTGAAGATTTTCTATATCTTATTTCAAATGATGTATCCTGAAACCCTGTTTTGAGCTAAGAGAGCTGAATGCTGTAGTGCTATGCAGGCTCTAAAGGGATTTTGCCATCATCCAGCTTTTGGTCACCTCCACCCTCAAGACCCACCCACACACATACAAACGCAGTCTTTAAGAGTATTTTGCTAGGGTTTTTTTCTGCTTTCTAATCTGCTCAAACAAGTTAGAAGGCAGGCAGACCACTGCCTAATAAAGGGCCAAGACCACACACCCCTACATGAAGTTCAAGAAGGCAAGTTTGCAGCAGAGATTTACACTACCAGTCCAGGGACTGCGTATTTGCAGACTTCTGTCCCACACATACGCAAGCAGCAGAGGACGGCAAGCAAAGATGCAGACACAAAGTTATCAATCACTTATTTTGTTAATCCTTGTGTTGACGGTAACAATTATGGATGTTACAGAACTAATTATCCTACAAAATCACTACCACAAGGAAGAATGGTCTGTGCACCAGCCAATGGCTGTGGTCACCTCAGCCTCATTCCCCTTCAATATGCCTTACAACTCACACTTCAAAACATTAAAAAAAAAAAAAAAAAAAAAAAAAAAAGGCATTTCCACAGTGGCAGAACTCCAGCTTTGTGTTATCTCCAGAAGCACAAAACACTGAAGGCAGCACTGGCTGTTACTTCAGCTCAGCAAAGGGTGTCAGAAGGGGAACACGTTAGCACAAACACAGCAGCGGGGCAGCCTTTTCCAGCTGAAAAAGCGAGAAGCAGCACATCCACAGTGCAGACAACTGAAAGCAAAAAGAAGAAAGAAACCCTGTGATCTTTTACCTAAATCCCCAAAGCCTGTGGGACAGCCATTTCCAATAACAGTTTATTAATAAACAGGCACAGAACAATGAAGGGTGTTTAAGCTGGTTCTGCTGCATGCAATTTGTTTCCTTTAAAAACAACATTCCCAGCACAGAGTCAATGCACGAAAATAATCCTATACTAGGCTGAATTAACCTCAATCAAACCATTGGGCATGCTGTTTATTTCAGACTGCTCTAAGTCACTACATTTCCTTATAGGAGAGAAAATAATAGTCTCAACAAAACTCTGTCAAAACAAAGGAAAATATAAGGCTGCTCCTGAGTTTGAATGATGTGAAAAAAGGATCTTGGCTGAAATAGAACAAAATAAGAACACAAAAGAGGAACAGAGAAGGCCTGAGTAAATGAAGCAGCTTGTGTCTTCAGTCAAATTTTAAGATCTTTGTTTTGTATTTGTTTATTGTAAAGGGGCATGGGGTGGGTAGAGCCTCGTGGGCAGTAAAAGTCTTAAATGTGGTCCATCTTACATTC